TTATTTTCTTTTACATTTCCCCCTATGTTTAGTATTTTGAAATGTAGGTGATTTAAAAATTGCACCTTGCTTTTTTTGAGGCGGCGTAGGGAGTAATGGATGTTCTGAGTTGCAAATTAAAATATTAAAGTATAGCTAAAACATACCAGGAAACTTCTGCAAATGAACTCTCTTTCAGAAATAGGAAAACTGTTCCCAGTTTACTTTCTAAATTGAGATAGTGATCACTTTTAGAAGTTGGTACCTGTAAATTTGCTGTTTCCTACTTGGCCTTGTCTCCTTTAAACTTTCTTAGCGTGTCTCAGAGGGCAGACATAAACTTAAGCCTGGTTTCTGCCTGACTAGAAATTTGATATTGGGTTGCATCGAGGAAGGGTAAAGGCTGCTTTCCAGTTCTTGCAGGAGGCAAATTATAAGTATGCTCTGTTTCAAAAGCACATTATTATTTAGGACATTTGTTATTTAGCAATTATGACTAAAGACTTCTCCCTATTATCAACATTTCTCAAAATGTGTTTTGAAGTCTAGGAAGGTAAGTTCAAAGGTATGGTACTAGCTAAATTATTATTATTTTTTAAAGATTTTATTTACTTATTTTTAAAGAGGGGGGAAGGAAGGAGAGAGGGAGAGAAATATAGATGTATGAGAGAAACATTGATTGGGGACCAGATGCGCAACCCAGGCAGGTGCCCTGATGGGGAATTCAACCAATAACTTTTGCTTTGCAGGATGATGCCCAACCAACTGAGCCACACCTCAGGGCTGGGCTAAATTATTTAATGTCTGAGAATAGGTTGAGATCTTTTTAGCCCCAAGACCTTTAATCATTTGCCAGGCCCCCTACCAGCAACCCGGGCTTCTTACCCATTTAAAGTTTGAGAATTAGGCTAAATTATTTAGAAAGTGGTTCCATGGCTAAGTATGTTTGGGAAATCCCATTTCTTTCTTGCATGATTTCTCACATCCATTCACTACATTCATGTCCATTGTGAATTTTCCAAAGTTTTTGTTTTTGTTTTTTGAACCAGAAGGCCTGCTTTTCATTATCTACCCCATAGTACAAGTTAATTTGGAATATAACATATTAGGATGAATTAATGAAAGAACTCTCTGGGCTTTGAAGAGTTACTGCAGTATTGCCTCATAAAAGGGCCTTAAATTCAGTCTTTTCCAGGCTTTATTCAATGGTAAGCAGTTCTCTAGTATGTGGACTTCGTTAAACTTGCATAAGTATTTGTTTTCAAGGTAGCGTCATGGAAAGAAACAGCATTCATAGTTTACATGAATATTAATTTATTGAGAATAAGAAATATTCTAGATTTATTAAGTTCAGAGGTAGTCATGGCCAATACCCAATACAACTTTATAGTCTTAATTTGTGTACTTATTCTTAATTAGAAAGTCACTGAGAAAATTTTAAAAATCATCATGAAACATCTATAAAAGGCTGTGGAGTAGTTTATATACTAAAGCATGATAAAACAATTTGTAAGCAATACAGTAAAATATCTGCTTATTAGTGATATAAAGTCTACAACGAAGTTAGACTTTCTCCAAACTTCTGTTTTAGGTGTTATTAACTTTGTTTTTATTGCTCTTTAACCATTTTCCCCCTCTTTCCCCATTGAAAGTCATGAGGAAGGTATAAGGGATCTGTCATGAAATAGACACTAATTAATTGTATTTTCACTGTGTACAATAAGAATCAAACTTCTCAGTAAGCAACTTACCCTGTTGCCATGAGACAATCTGTGATGCTCATTTTTCTGGAAAAGATATTTCCAATCAAGTGTCAGATGTTTTTACACTTTAAAGGTAGACCATGCAATTTTGCTTCTAGAACAAAATATTGAATACATCCTACAGCTCAGTTCTGAATGTGATAAATTAAGCACCGAAATCAACACTGACACTTACCTGCAGGGATTTAACATTTCTTTAAAACACTCCCCGCCATTCATATTCATTCATGTTTGCATCATTTGAGTAGTTACACCAGAAAAACTCTTGCTTCATGAAAGTTAATTAAATGATCATTCTAGCTAATCAATGTTTCATTTTAGTTTTCAGACCAATTCTGTTTGTACCCAAGGCAAAAGACTTTGTCCTGGATAAGCTACACTACCTTTAAAATATTTTCACCTGAGGGTTAATCTTCCTTCTTCCACCTGGGCAAGCACCAAAACCAGCACCAGCGTGCCTCTCAAACCACCGCTTCTGACAGTCACAGAACCAGGCCAGCAGAGGCCTTCATTTTATAGGTAAGGAAACTGAATGTGGGGTGGTTTTGAACTCAGAGCCTCTGCCTAATTATGATTTTACTGCCATGTGCTATTTTTTCTCCTATCTTGAAAACCTTTACCATATTGGTTTCTCCATAAAAGGAGTTATACCTGAACTTGGAACCTGAGGAACATACCACGGTGGAGGAAAGTAGAGAAGGCTATGCAGGGAGATGTGCGGATCTGGTTGGACTATAGTCAACATTCTATAGTTGTTTCTCCTCTTGGGCACTTCAGTGGATTAGTGCAGGGTGTGGCTGTGATTCTACTGTACTTACTAAAACCTTGCTACACACTGTGGGGCACAGAGCCATCGCTGAAAATATGTACCCCAAACCTGCTCTGAATTAAATTCAGGTTTGGTGTAAATTTGGTTTGGAGATTATTTTGTTTTGCTCATTTCTAAATAATTTTGTTTTATTCTGGTAAAATTTCTTGTTTTAAAAACATTTCCTAATATTCAGTCTCATGAACCAATTCAGATTTTGGTTCATATTTCTTCAAAAATTGCTATCTTATAATTTTATTAACCAATGTCACCCCAATAAATTTAATTTAAAAGTTAACAAAAAAATTAAAACTAAGGTTAAAAAAAAAGGGAAAAATTTCATGGAAAAGGAAAAGTTAGGACTCAGAATGCCTGACTGAAAAATTGTTTAGGGCTTGATCGTAAATCGAGCCAAATTTTATGAATGTTTATGTGTAATATACCAATATATCTTCTGTAATACTTTAACATATATTTTCAAGTATAATAAATTATGGCTTATTTAAATAAAAATGATCAAGATATTTAGGTTATTACCATATTTAAAAGAAGTAATTAAAAGATTACACATTCTAGCCCTGGCTGGTGTGGCTCAGTGGATTGAGTGTCGGCCTATGAACCAAAGGTCACTGGTTCAATTCCCAGTCAGGGCATATGCCTGGGTTGTGCGCCGGGTCCCCAGTTGGGGGTATGCAACAGGCAGGCACATTGATGTTTCTCTCCAGCTCCTTCTCCCTCCCTTTCCCTCTCTCTAAAAATAAACAAATAAAATCTTTAAATAAAAAAGGATTACAAATTCTGTTTATATTAAACATGTATGATTTTGTGCAGGTAGAATATGCTTGGCACAAGAATAGCTCCTAAATGCCCATGTACCTCCCATTCATTTATAGTTCTCAGACATTCACCATGTACCAAGCCCAGAGTAGTTTCATTTTCAGATCCTACAGAACTTTCAACTTAAAGTAAGAGCCAAGGCAACTCATTTTCCATGACCAATACACAGCACTTAGAGACTTGGCTTACCAGGGTGGCTATTTTTTTTTTCTGTTTGATAGTTCCTGTTAACTCTTACATATAATGTTTTAAGTTAGGTTAGCTCTCATTATAGCAGAGAATAATTGTTTCATACTGAGTACTAATGGTAAAAATTTTGTTTTCTGATTTTAAAAAAAAGGTAGCTGTAGTGTTAACAGGTAACAATATCTTTACTATGAACCTTAGGATAAATGCAAAGTCCAGTAAAAGCACCATATTTGAATTTATTTCTTGATACATATATGAAAACACTCTTCCGTTGATGTTACTCGTGAACTGGAAATTGCCAAAGCATGGGCTCTAGTTTCATAAGATGACTCAAAGCCCTATACAGTTTCTGGGAGAGACTGGGAGTAGCAGACTGCTAGAACCCTTTGTTCATTCATTCGGTTCCTAATATGTTTTCTGAGGATAAAAAAAAAAATGCATTTTTCAAACAAATTAAATAGCCCCTGGTTCCAAAGAGCTCCCACTCTACTAGAGAAATATCCCACATGGAAACAGAAGGTAGTAATGCAGTGTTGTAAGTCCAATAATAGAGTTAACCTGTTTCGTTAAGGGAGCAAAGGGGAGGGGCCCCCAGGTTGACTGGGAGGGGGTGATTTAGAAAGGAATGGGGTGATGGTCAGCAGAGGCCTCCTGGGTGACTTGATGCCTGAGCTGAGTTTTAAAGGAGGAGGGAGAGAGAAAATGTGGGTCAGAACGGCATTCCAGACACAAGGGACACAAACAGGGTATCGGGTGCGCAGGAACTACAAGCAACAGGTTGTTGATTTTTGTTTTAAAGAACCACCCCTCCAACCGTCCAAGGGCTGTGTGAAGGACGGATCTGAAGAAGAGGAGAAAGCTGGGAGCAAGAGGCCAGGAAAGCTGTTGCCTTGGTGCAGGTGAGCTACGATGGCCAGCATGGGGCAGTGCTAGTAGCCATGGAGGAAAAGTAGACTTAATCAACATTTATAGTTAACATCAGTCTTCAGTGATTGACTGAATATAGGGGTTGAAAGAGGAGGAGGAAGTATCGAGGGTGACTCCCACGTTTCTGGTTTGGTGGTACCAGTAACCGAGACAGGGAAATAGGGGGAAGAGCTGCTCTAGCAAACAGTATGTTCAGTATTGGACATGAGCTCGAGGTACCTCTGGGTCACATCCCGGTGGATATATATCCAGTGAGCAGTTGGATGTGAGCCTGAGGCTCAGGCAAGAGGCTAGAATCACACATTTGGGGGTTATCAGCACAACAGAAGGCTGTGGCATCCAGGTACAGAAAGGCAGGGACGCTTCCATTGGCCCATTGTCCTGGGCCTCTGCAGGCACCCTCTTGTCATCCCATTAGGCTCATATTTTCTTGAGCCACTGAGGCACGGTTGCCTATTTTTTCTCATATTTTCTTAGAACATTTGCAAAACTAAACATCTCCAGTCCTGCCATCATGTTTCCCTGCCCTGAGAACTAGTTACGCACGGCACTCTCCCTTCATATATCACACTCATAGCAAGGTCTTGTATAGAATAGGTGATCCGTAAATGTTCATGTTCATTGCTTATATTCATCTGGCTCTCTGTATACAGAATTAGCTCCCTTTTTTTTCTTGCAGGAACTTCTTTTTTGTTTCTCAAGTTTAAATTCTTACAAATTTCGAAGACTACTTTAAAATTAAGTGGAAGTGGGCAGTACTTGATAGGTGAGTGAATATCTTCCATTCATTATCGAGACTAAATCATTCATTTCATTATCACAAGTCGTTTGTTGTAGGGTTTGGAAACAACCATTTATCTTCTTAGGGAAGGATGGCAGAGTTTGTCCAGTTGTCCCGCAGCGGGAGTTAGATTTTGCAGGAACCTGGCGTGGGTAATCCCTGATTCCAGGCGGCGATGGGGTGGAGTTTCACATTTTGCTTTATCTGAACAGTATGTGAAAAAGAGTCACTAAAAATAAGAACAGACCAGGCTTTGTTGCAGCTGAGTGGCTTGGCAAGTTACTGTATAGAGGAATCATAGGACATGGAGGATTTGATACTGGGATAGAATCCCATTGCCCTCTGAGTGGAAATAAAATATCCTTTTTAAGAGCACTGAAGTCCTGGGATTTTTGGGGAATGATCACCTTTGTGAGGTGTGGATCATGTCCAGGGACTGTAACCTGAGAAGAAACAAGAAACAATCATCTGAATGATTTCAAATGTTTTGTAGTGCCAACACTGAAAACACTAATATCCACCACTAAAATGCAGCCTTTATGGAACACGTGTAACAATCTGCCAGCCTCCCAGGCTAGTAACCACTTCAGTTCTGCTCAGTGAAAGAGTTATCCACTGTCTGTTCTTAGGGACCATAGTTGTTAATGCTGTTGCCAACAATTACAAAATGAAACAAAGACACAGCTCCTTTATATCTGGAGATGTCAGTCAGGAAAAGGAAGCAGTGGACTGATTCTGCCCCAGCGTTTTCATGGAGAGTAAAGGTAAAGAGCTGACTATTTCCCTGTGTCCCAAGTCTGTACTTTAATGTCCTGACTGGGTATGAAGATTATTTAGAAGTGGAATTCTTTTCTCAAATTATCCCATTTCCCTTGCAAGGGATCTAAATGTATAAGTTTATTGCTTCCTTAGAATGTTTGAATTTTATTTGGTCTTGTTTTGTGCATATGAGTCTGAATCTTCAACTACATTTGTCTTTTTGTTGTTGTTGATGGGGGAAATGATCAGGAGAGATAGGACAAATCCTAAACTAAATATATATGGTGAAGAGAGAAAAGAATGGAGACTAACATTTACATAACCATTAACTGGTATATATTTCGGCCATTCATTTCAGTTTCCAAAATCTTCAGCTAAATATATATTTTTGTCGTTGGGGGAAATGATCAGGAAAAATAGAACAAATCCTAAACTAATTATATTTGGTGAAGAGAGAAAAGAATGGGGAATGTAACTTACATGACCATTAACTGGTATGTATTTTAGCCATTCTTTTCCGTTTCCAAAGTCTTGCCTTCTAATTTTGTCCTCAAACTAGTAGCTAAAGCCAACATGTACTATGTTAGTGTAACTAACTGGAAATGAACTATTTATAACTATTCCATAAGGGTGTGGCTTATTTATGGGATTACATAAAAATAATTTAGTCCACTACAAGGAGAACCCTTATTTTCATAGAACGGAAATGTCACAGTAAATAACATAGAGTCACAGTGAGGTGAGGTTATCCAGCGGATTCTAGCCACTCAGTGGGAGGAGAGATTCCTAAGAAGGGGGTTAGTGACTGATGAAATACAAAGCCAGTTTTCCTGCAGAATAGGCTACTTTCTCCTAGGAGTAGTTCTGCTCAGAACAACTGCTATGGTTGGCATTAGACCTACTAATCTAAGTAAAGGAATCTTGAATTTCTTAGAGAAAAGTCATAGCATCAGAGAGTAAGAGGCACAAAATGTACCCTAAATCGGGTACTTATTCATTTAGTTGATTTGCATATACCTACTTGGACTCAAACCAGTTCATGCTTCCTACCAGGAAGAAATGACTCAGGAACATGCATCTTAAGTCAGAATTAAAACCTGGAACTTCACTTGCATTGATTGGAACACTCATCATCATTTGCTTACGAAAGAACTGCAAAATATGTTTATCACTTGCTTAATATAGTAAAATTTGTGGATCAAGTTTTACTTCTAATGAATCCTGAAAAAATTTTGTCCAAATCTATTTTTTAATAGCAGAAATTATATTTCATGAAATGGGTATTAAAATGGTATTTTATAAAGCTTGCAAGTACTCTAGCTATATTGTTTACATATTCTTACTGTTGATAAGGTATGTTCCATTTTTTTAATCATAAAATGTATTACAAGACATAGGATTTGGCCTTTATTAAAAACAGTAATTGCCAATTGGAAAAAGAACACGATTTTTTTGGTTTGTTCCTGTCATGCTCACCTCTCTCAGTCCTTGCTGAAGGCAAGTCTGATGTCATCTTTTCCTTTTGTCGTGATGAATTGTACTACTTTCAGACTTCTCAGGCTTATTTTAGATTCCTTCTGGGTGAGGACACATTGCGAATTTTGTAATATTTTAAGAACAGCAACTAGAACTGTATACTTACATTTAATGTATACGATCCAGGCAAGAGAAGGAGGTAATATTCTCCAAATTTGTTTGTTTTGTAGGGGCAGATATGTTTTCTGTCTTGGACTTCTACAATTACATTGGGTAATGGATTTCCCTGATGATCAAAAACTTGACCCTTTAGACCTATAAAACAAAGAGATAATTGTTAATACCATGTTTCATGGCACATGAAAAACAATTCTTGTAATTATTTAAGTAAAATATGCCTAATATTTATTAGCTGTTCTGAGTTAATAAGATGTTTGAGGAGAACTTTTTAAAAAAGTTGAGATAGAATCGACATATGTTAGTTTTAGGTATGCAACATAATCATTTGATATATGTATAGATTGTGAAATAATCAGCACAATATATCTAGTTAACATAGTTATAATTTTTTTCTTATGGTGAGAACTTTTAAGATTTATTCTCTTAGCAAATTTCAAATTACCATACAGTATTCTTAACTACATTCATCATACTGTACATAACATGTCTCCAGGATTTATTTATTTTAGAACTAGAAGTTTGTACCTTTTGACCACTTTGATACACTCCTCCCACTCCCGCCTCTGGCAACCAACAACTTGTTTTCTGTATATATGAGTTTAAGTTCAGGGTTGTTTGCTTGTTTGTTTTATTTTAGACTCCACATAGGGTAAGATCATATGGTATTTGTATTTGTCTGACTAATTTCACTCAGCATAATGCCCTCGAGGTCCATCCATATTGCAAATGGCAAGATTTTATTCTTTTTTATGGCCGGATAATATTCCATTGTAAATAAATATATACCACATTTTCTTCATTCATCCATTGATGGGCATTTAGGGTGCTTCTCTGTCCTGGCTATTGTAAGTAATGTTCCAGTGAACACAGGAGTGCAGATATATTTTCAAGTTAGCGTTTTCACACAGAAATAGAATTGTTGATCATATAGTAGTTCTCTTTTAACTTTTTGAGGAACGTCCGTATTGTTTTCCATAGTGGCTGTACCAACATCTCCACCAACAGTGTACAAGGGTTCCTCTTTTTCTACATCCTTGCCAATATTTGTTATTTCTTGTATTTTTGGTAATAGCCATTATAACAGTTGTAAGGCAATGTACTTCACTGTGGTTTTGATTTGCATTTCTTTGATGATTAGTGACATTGTGCAACTTTTCGTGTACTGGTTGGCTATAATTCTTCTTTGGAAAAAAATCTCTATTCAGACCCTCTGCCAATTTTTTAGTCAGAGTGTTTTTTTCTTGCTATTGAGTGGTATGAATTCTTTATATATTTTGAATTTTAACCCATTAGGTGTATGGTTTTAAAACATTTTCTCTCATTCAGTAGGGTGTCCTTTTAATTTTGTTCATGGTTTCCCTTGCTGTGCAGAAGCTTTTTAATATGATGTAGTTCCATTTGTTTAAGTTTGCTTTTTTGTCTTTGTTTTTGGTGTCAGGTCAAAGAAATCATCACCAAACTGATGTTAAGGTGCTTACTGCCTGTGTTTACTTCTAGGAGTTTTATGGTTTCAGGTCTTACATTCAAGCCTTTAATTAATATTGAATTAATTTTTGTGTACAGTGTTAAACAGTGGTCTATTTACATTCTTTTACATGTGGCTGCCCAGTTTCCCCAGCACCATTTATTGAAAAGACTGTCCTTTCCTATTGTATATTCTTGTCTCCTGTCCTCAATAAATTGAATGTATATATATATGTTTTGTTTCTGGTCACTATTCTGTGCTGTGGATATATGTGTCTGTTTTTAAACCAATACCATACTGTTTTGATTACCATAGCTTTGTAGTATAGTTTGAAATCAGGAAGCATGATGCCTCCAGTTTGTTCTTCTTCCTCAGATTGCTTTGGCTATTTTGAGGTCTTTTGTGGTTCCATAGAAGTTTTAGGATTGTTTGTTCTATTTCACTGAAAAATCCCATTGAGATTTTGATAATGGAATACATGAAGCTGTAGATAGCATTAGGTAGCATGGACATTTTAAAAATATTCTTCCAATCCATGACCGTGGAATATCTTTCCATTTATTTATCTCTTTTTCAAGTTCTTTTATCAGTGTCTTAAGATTTCAGACTACAGGTCTTTTACCTCCTTGGTTAAATTGATTCCTATGCGTTTTATTCTTTTGGATGCAGTGGTGAATGGGATAGTTTTCTTGATAATTTGTAATTGTATAGAAACACAACAGATTTTTGTATGTTGATTTTGTATCATGCAACTTTACTGAATTTATTTACTAGTTCTCAGAGTTTTTAAGTGGAGTCTTTAGGATTTTCTAAATATGCTACGTCACCTGCAAATAGTAATACTTTATTTCTGTTCAAGATGGAGGTATAGGTAAGCACAGCTTGCTTCCTTGCACAACCGCATCAAAATTACAACTAAACAATAAGGAAACCATCACTAAAAACTGTCAAAAATCGAGTTCAATGGAAATCTGACAGAATTAAAGAAACCAAATCCATCCAGACTGGAAGGAGGGTGCAGAAATGCAAAACGGGTTGGGCTCACATACATATATAGTAGATAAAAATTTGGAAGGGATATCTCGGGAGTGAGGAGTGCCAGCTCCACACCAGGTCCCCCAGCCCAGGGTTCCAGTGCCAGGAAGGTAAGTCCCCATAACTTCTGGGTGAAAAATTCAGTAGGCATTGAGTCTGTAGAAGACACTTCTGGAGTCCCAAGCAGTTCCTCTTAAAGAACCCACTCACAAACTAACTCATACTCAATCCCTCTGAGCTCCAGGGTAGCATGTTGAAAGGCACCACTGGCATATGGGGAAGAACTGAAGTGTCTGGCATTAAGCAGAGAGCTGGGAGACAGTTTTCTCCCATTCCAGACAAAAAGGCATGCAGAAGCGATTGACCCTCTTCTGAACTCTTCACCCCACAAAGCCATAGAGCTGGCAGGCTGGTGCCATATCTGAGACACCATTAACCTGGCTAACACTGTTTGACCTGCCCTGGATCCCAAGGCTCCATCCCACACAACTTACAGCTGTTAACAGTGGCTTTTCCATGTGAATGTCTGGTCTTGGCTTATGCTTCACAACTTCCTAAATCCTCTCAAACAAGCAAGAATGGCCTCAGTGAACTCCCAATCCCCTACCTCTTGTTAAATGACCCCAGGCCCAGTATAAGCAGCAGCTAGCCTAGATTCACAGCTTGGCTTCATCTGGGAATCTCCAAGTCCAGCACAAGTAGCAGCCATCTCAGATTGCTTTATAGCTCAGGCACAGTGGCCCTGGGTTAAACACAGGTGGGACTGGATTTGGCCTTCACGACCTGGGAAACCCCAGAGACTGCGCACCCAGTAGACAGCTACAGACCACGTCAGAGCACCACCACCCTGCCCCTGCACAGCTGCTCCTCCACAGAGGGTGGAGGTTGCTGATCAGTGGTCACAGCCAGTCCCTGCAGCTGACTGGCCTGGGTAAATCCAGCCCATTGACCTGACAACAACAATCAAGGCTCAACTACAAGGGGACACTGTACTCAGCCAACACAAAGGGTGCACCTTGAAAATTGAGCTTCGGTGATAGGGGAGACTGTGTTACTGGACCCTACAGGGCACCTACTACATTAGGCAACACTACCAAGACACAGAGCCAAAGCGGCTCTACCTAATACATAGAACAAACACAGGGATGCTACCAAAATGAGGAGACAAAGAAAAATGGCAAATGAAAAACAGATCAAAACTCTAGAAAAAGAACGAAACAGAAGGGAGATAGGCAATATATCAGATGCAGGGTTCAAAACATTGGTTATAAGGATGCTCAGGGAACTTAGTGAGGACCTCAATAGTATAAAAAAAATCCTGTAGAAATGAAGGATATACCAATTGAAATAAAGAACAATTTACAGAGAAACAACAATAGGGTGGATGAAGTTGAGTCAAATCAATGATTTGGAACATAAGGAAACAAAAAAGAACCAGTCGGAACAAGAAGAGGAAAAAAGAATCTTAAAAAAATGAGGATAGTGTAAGCAACCTCTGGGACAACTTCAAGCTTTCTGACATTTGTATCAGAGCGGTGCCAGAAGGAGAAGAGAAAGAACAAGAAATTGGAAATCTATCTGAAAAAATAATGAAAGAAACTTCCTTAATTTGGTGAAGGAAATAGACATGCAAATCCAGGGAGCAGAGTCCCAAACAAGATGGGTGCAAAGAGGCCCACTCCAAGACGCATCATAATTAAAATGAATCAAAGGGCAGATAAAGGACTTTCCAGACAAGAAAAAACTAAAGGAGTTCATCATCACCAAACCATCATTATATGAAATGTTAAAGGGACTTATTCAAGAAAAAGGAGGTTAAAGCTATGAACAATAAAATGGCAATAGATGCGTATCCATCGACAATTGAAACTAAAAAACAAACTAAGCAAAAAAGAATAACAGAGACAGAATCATGGATATGGAGAATGTTTTGATGGTTGTCAGATGGGAGGGAGTGTGGGGGAATGGGTGAGGAAGTAAGGGGATTAAGAAGTACAAAGGTAGTTACAAAATAGCCATGGAGATGTAAAGTACAGTGTAGGAAATGGAGTAGCCAAAAAACCTATGCACAACCCATGGACATGAGCAATGGTGTGGAGATTGCCTGAGGGAGCGGGGGGTGCTGGGTGGAGGGGGGCAGAGGGGAATAAATTGGGATAACTGTAATACCATAATCAATAAAATATAATAAAAAATAGTGATAATTTATTTCTTCCTTTCTGAATGGATTCTATTTATCTACCTACCTATCTATCTATCTATCATCTATCTATCTTTCTATCTATCTACCTATCTTTGCATAATTGCTATGGCTAGATCTTCCAGTACTAGGTTGAATAAAAGTGGCAAGAGTGGATATTCTTGTCTTGTCCCTGACTTTAGGGGAAAAGCTTTCAGCTTCTCGCTATTGAGTATGTTAGCTGAGGGATTGTCATAGCTGGCCTTCATTATGTTGAGGTATACACACTGTTGATAATTTTTATGATAATAGATATATTGAATTTTGTTAAATACATTTTCTGCATCTATTTGGATGATCATGATTGTTATCTTTTATTTTGTTAAAGTGGTGTATCACATTGATATGTGGATGTTAAACTACGCTTGCATCCCTTGAATAAATCCCACTTGATGA